GCCCCCCCCCCCCCCGTCCCCCCCCCCCCCCCTTGAACCCTCGGGGCAATGCATTGACAGCCGAGGGATTCCCATGAAACCGTTCACTTCATTCTTCAAGTCCAGTTTCAAACGGTGTTTGTATTCCGTTTGGTGCGTTGGTGGTGCAACACGTATCGCCAATATGAGATCCAACTGTTAACTATATATATTTAACAGTCCTTTAAGAATACATGGATTCCTAGGGGAGAAAAAGCGCTCCTTCGCTAAAAGCCCCGTTGTCTCCCCTGAATGAGGTTCGTGTATTCGGACTTTAAGCTCAAAAGTCACTATATTCCCACAATAGGACATGCAAGGCAAATTTCCATGTGGCTGAAGTTCATCACGAAATGTTCAATGCGGCAGAATATACCTGACCTATACAAGCAGAACCAAATTTTCGTCGAGAAAAAAGTTGTCCTCCATGTGATACGTTTCTATCGCATCCAACACTTGATGCAAAAACCGCATCCAAAATTCGATACGGCAAAGACGCATCACATGCAGGACAGATTTTTTCGCGAGAAAAATGCATCGAACTGAGGCACTGAATTTTCTGTGTGTGGTATTTCCGAGGATGCCATTGCCGGAAACAAGAATATCGTCTTTCAGAGTACTTTAATCAAGAATCACACGTCTAGACAGGAGGGAGGAGGCACGAAGGGGAAGCCGGGTCGCAGTCCTCGTATTCCTTTAGATGGGGATTCTCCAGGTCGCCGCGGTCGTCCACGCCGGCGTAGCGGTGGGTGGGTGTCCCGGTGTCCCTCACGCACACGCATCGCGTGTCTCCTCCGGGCGTGTCCACCATCCGTGGGACTCCCGCCCAGTCTCGAACGATGCCTCCGCTGTGAAATCATCACTTCGGTTGAATGTTTTCGAGAATGAGTCCATGCAAAAGTTTTTAGCCTTTTAACTGCAAGAAACGAGTGACTTCGATCGTGGAACTTCCCTAGTCATTCAGTCGAATATACCAAAGATATTATATGAGAAATGGAATCATTCTAGGAAAGTGTCTAGTGAATCATTAGTGAGGTAGTGCGGGAAATTTCTTTCAGCGTGTAAAAAAATGACACAAAGGTTAAGCGGAAGGTCTGTAGAGAAAATAATATTTAGGGAGAGAAAAATGAAAAATGCGAGAAAAATTAAATGGAAATCATGAAACAATTTCCGTCTTTCCCGAATAGGTTTGACGAAATTTCTGTGCTTCGACTCATGGCGATTGGCCGTTCACTGAAAAGTTCCACATTCCGGGATGAACCATGTCACCTGCAGGTGGGGACTTCCTCAGAATGGTCACAACCATGCATTGATAATTAAAAAAAGTAAGGTGCCTGAATTCCAGTATTCCGATTTCCCCTCAAAAGCATCGGCACGAGCCAACATTGAACGTGGAAACCATCTGAAAGCTAAAATATACCTCCTCTGGTCGCACCATACCCGGGGAGGGTGCCCCTGCTTCCACTCGGAGTGACACGGGGGGAAAGCTCGCGCGTCCTCCAGCTCCTCCGCCGCTTTTGCCTTTCGAATCCACCGCTCCACCTGCTTCCCGTAATCGGTCATCTTCCCCCTCTCGTCGAAGTACCTGCCCATCACCTTCCCTGTGCATGCGAGAAAATTGCGATCATGCAAAATTCGGTGTTGGTGGTTCATGAGCAATTAAATGAAACGAGGCAATTGGTACCTCATAAATGCACGTGTCGTCCTATCTTATGGCATCATTACGGCTGGTGTCACACTGTCCTCGTGATCTCTCACAGGTTAAAATATAATATTTTATTATATACATAGACAATCCTGACTGTATGTCTGACGCTAATTCCAACCATGTTCTAGAAAGGTTAGAAATCTGAAACGGTACATGTATACATTTACGGATGCAGAGTTCAGAAAAAATCCGACTTTGGAGGCACATGCCCTGGGGTCAACCATTTTGGGGGCGATGTTTTCAGTGAAATGTATTGGCTTCAGTGAAACGGAGAGACATGGGAAGCTGAAACTTGGCATGGACTGAGACATACATTTCAGGAAAAATGTCGACTTTCAGATTCACCCCCTATGGTCATTCTTTTAGGGGGTGACGTTTTCAAATGTTTTTTTTCCTATCAAATTTGCCAGAAATAAAATGGAGAAACTGAAAAAATTCTGAAGAAACATGCTTCGTAAATGATGGTAATGAACAAGCTTGATTTTTGTTGGGCACCTGCGTATAAAGTGGCAACTTCAGGAAATGTGGTATCAACCTCTTTTTTTTTAAAATGTGCAGCTGCTTCCATTCATGCAGGGAAAACTTTGGTTTTTTTCTCGCTTTAGTTCGATGGGACTCACATGAATGAACTCAGTTCATGATGAAGGGAAAAGCAGATACTCACCGACGTATTTATATTTGCTGTCGTAGAAGTCGGCCTGCTCGTCGAGAGCCCGGTAGTCTTCGTCCGTGAGGCCGGACACCTCGTCCGTGAGGCCGCCTTCGGAAAAGTCTCCGGTCAGGAACGCCCGGGACGCGTCACGCCCTGAGGGAAACGCAAACCTGCAGGCACTTTTGGTTCGGACGTGGATCTCGTTGGTTCCGAGAGGATTTCAGGATATGGAATTATTTTCGCTTTGAGACGTTTCTCTTTTTGTCAAAGGAGACCAAATAAATGAGAAAATGAAAATCTGCAAGGGTCACAATGTCTCATGATTCCACCGCAGGAAATGCTGTAAACATTCCAACGGGGTAGGAAAAGCTAGTGCCATAGAAATTGGCGAAACGAAGAAATGCAGTTCCACCGACCAGTGAAGGGCTCGTAGAACCCGCCTTTGCCGTAATAATTGCGGGCGGAAGAGACGTCATAAACCCGTCCGAGAATGGCCAGATAGAGCTCCTTCTTCTTCCTTCCGTTGTACTTCGCCAGCTCCTCCGGGGCGAAAAGGAGGTCTCTGAGGTAGCCGTCTCCGCCCTCTCCATCCGCCCACTGCTGCCCCCGTCCAGCCGGCGGCGGCCCCCCCGGCGACTTCTCCCACGTCTCCTCGCCCCCTGCCCAGAACCTGGAATAAAGTGACTGGGGTGTGACACGAGCCACAGTGGCGAGCACATGACAATAATTATTCGGTCGGTTGCGACAGAACCGTGCGCAACCTGCGTGCTGCAACTAGATATTGGTACGGCATATAAGCTGAAGTGCATCTGTAAACTTCTCAATAGGTTGGTTCTGAGTGATAGGCACAACATACGTCATCTCTTTGCTTCACAAATTCCACTTAACCGGTAGAAAGTGTTGTCCAAAAATAATAAAGGCCGCATTCGTGATTTGTTTGTTACGATACTACGCCATAAATTGCAGGAGATCAATATTTCTATTCACGGTTTTGGCCCTTACAAGCCCGACAACCCACGACATTTGAAATCTGTAAATACGTTCATATTCGTAGCATTTAATAGAACATATTATGGACACACATAGATTTAATCAATTTGTAAATGGATGTATTTCATGAATTCATTTCAACTATCTGTGAGGAAATCTAACGGACGTGAGTGACGCTGACATGAAGGAGATTCAGGCGAAACGAAACTTGTCGTAGGTCCCCGTGCATAAGATAACAAAAACTAGAAAGAAAAAAACCGGGCGAAACGATGAACATCTATTCATGAAACATAATCTAATCGCCTTTCTGCATTCCTTTCTCTACATGAAAACTCTCTATCTCGCTTCGAAGCAACCGTCTGCAGTGCCTTATCGACTTGATATCATGTCTATGCGTTCGGCAAATGGTATAATCACATGGGAAAATGTGAGGTTAACCCCCGATGTATCCAAACTGAACGAAAACCAATTCCTCTCACAATCCTCACAATTCGTCGCAGGTATAGGCCCATTTGAATATAACACCATCATCCAATGAGTCGGATAGAACGAAAATGAATAATGTTCCCAGGCGGCCCGACCTGGCGAGTTGCTCCATGCCGGGGATGCGATAAAGGACGGCCAAGTACGAAGGGTCCTCCTTGTGGAGGTAGATGGCGACGCCCAACAGGACGGGGATGGCCATGGCGATCCGCTTCCCGACGGCCCCGCACGCTTCCATTCTCGCCTCTTCGATCGTCGCGCGATGCCTGAGAGAAAACCTTAAGTCGTCCGTTATTCGTGCTCGGGATGTCAAAATTTCATGGAGAGGGCGAATTCTTCACCCCGATGAAATTCAGTTTTGCGTTTTGCCGTCTATTTACGGTTCGAGCCCGAACTGCTTATGGAATGCCATTGCTAATATAGCATTAATCGTGTCTCAAATGCAAGATTAATTGTACAGAGTTCCACTGAAGTCGCCAGCTACATGTGAATGGAACAACTGATTAACTCTATATACGAAATTAATATTAATAATTTCATCGGCGGATGTTTCGATACCGCAGTTGAGCGAGAGCAAACGGCAATTTTGCAATTAACAGGGAAAGAGCACGAGTACCAAAATGAGTACCGATATTTGAACCTCATCTTCCGTGCCCCACAATAATCTTTCCGAAATTCAGCTAATATCCGTCCTAGAACAGTACAGAACGTCTGCAACATTTGAAGACGCTTCTTTAAGAAAGCAGGTATTGTTCTTCCCATGTCGTCATGCCACCATCGGTGACAGCCTGGGTCGTGCTTTCGCCTGCATCGATAGAAGTACTTTTTATGGGGGGGTGAGGGGCGGAAAGGGAGAGGTTTTCTTTTCCTCTTATCTTCGAAGATCGTTTGGGCCATGCAGGTCATATGTTTCCTGTTATCGAGATAAGGATGAGGCGGTTTTTTAACTTTTATCTTGTCGACTCACAGAGAACTGCAGCGAGAAATCACCCTCGCATTCTTTTGTTAACTGCATCGCTTACACATGCAGGCCCGACCGCATCAACTTGATGAGCTCCTAGAATGCTCCCAGACGCCGTACTCTGGATCGAAGGAGTGTTGTTCACTAATTGCAGAACACTGTTGGAAAAGTAGCATCGTCCAGATGGTTGAGAGCACGAAGGCTAGTCTGCTAGGCCCACGTCAACTTTCTAATACGATAGTTTTGGTGACGAATCTGCAACATTTAATTTCGCTGGAGTAGGTCGAGGCCAGGATCCATCGCAACACTTCTAGAACGAGCGATTGGGCATTCGTATGGGATGTAATGCCCAGGTCTTCCAACGTGTCATCCTTTAGATTCAGACATTGGTGCTATCCCGAAACCAAATTCAGGTTTCCCTAAACGCACGGCCGTTGAATCAGTTCCGCATCTCGAACTCCAACTGGGCGACGGTCATGTGCCAGCTAAATTCATGGAACACATTCTTCTCGAGGTCGCCGTATTTTTAAATTGTAAACTTTACAGGATAAACATCCACCTTGCAAGACATTACGTACATACCCTGCTCGATGACCTGGCGTGGGATCGGCTGTTGATTCGGGACCAGACCGCACCATTCGACTAGCATCATCTAGGCATCCTTGTGCACTATCACAAAGTCAAGGTCCTCAATTAAAAACTCGCGTAGTTCGTCTTCGTCATCTCTGACTAGCAGGCTAGAGTTATCGATGGGGCCAGGATGCTTGGTGGAGCGTTTCGCATGTATCTCGGCACTGCAGGTGCTCAGACCGGTGTAAGATTTGAAGTTCTTGAACCACTTGTTGTCGAGGAGATACCAAGTATCTCCTTTAATTAGGCTCTTGGACAGAACGGGCTTGATTTACTCCCATTGCTGCTCCGCACTGACAGGCGTGATGGATGTGGACGGCAGCGAACGATGGGCATAAAATCCCTTCCGCTTCTGATCTGAACTCACAGGAGTGATGGGTGTGGACGGCATCTCCAAACGTTGGATCCCTCGGGGGACAATGTGTGGAGAAATTAACACATGATTGCTCAACGGACACCTTGGTCACTGCTCGGGTTGGATAAGCAGTCGAACAAGCTTGGATGTGCGTGGAGGAGGACAGCGCCCGGCGTCGACTGGTTTTCAACAGGAATATTTTCTGTCTTCTTCAGATAAGCCTTATCAGAGGGACGTCCTATCAGGCTACACGGCATTATTGTGAATGTGTTCTGGTTGGAAAATGCATGAATTGCAGTGCGAAACTGAGCGTTCTCAAAAGACTTTTAAAAGGGGGATTTAAAAAAAAAAACAAGGAGAGAACGTTTGGAGGTGGCGTGAGTAACAAAATACATTATACAGGTGAGAAAGTTGCCATAGGATTGCATGCGGGACCTATCGTACTTCCCCAACGGTATAGAAAAAAAGTTCTAATCTCTCTTGGGATGAAAGGACTCACGGCTGAAGTGCACATAGTGAAGACTGACATAGCAAAACATACATATTTTGTCTCGACGTAATTTTATATCAGGCTGAGAGTCAGAAGTTAATTCTTAAATCGGATAGGCAGTACCTGGAAAATGCTGCCTGGTTTCATTTGTTTTAGAGCAATGGCACTAATAAGATTTACAAAATATTTCTAATGATACTTCGAAACAGAAGGTTCAATCTTTGGAAACAACCAGAGCTAATAATTGTATTATATTTTTCTCTAATTTTGGTGATTGGCGAACGTGCACCTTCGCTCTTTTCCTCTGGTTTTCAAGCACGTTATTTCACAATTACCAACCGCTGAAGGTCAATGCCATTAGTAGTCACTTGGGCCCCATGCCATCGTAGGCATTCCAGATTTTCAAGCACTTGATCCGAAGAGGCTTCGCGAAGAATTGGAGAGGATGTTGCTTTATCAGAGTCGGAAGGGTGAGGCTGAAAGCCTGGACTACGTGAGGAACAACAATTCATTCTCACACTCCGATTACTTAAGCTGATCCGATCCGATCCGTATTGTTGATTTTTATATCCAAGCCGAATCCGCCCTCTTCTCCTGTTTTGCTGTGACAAGAAGTGATATAAATGAAAGAGTCATTCTCATTCATTGCACTTGCTTTTTTAATTGTAATGCAATTTGAAAAAACAGCCAAACTTCGAACAATAAATATATAATGGAAAAGTAAAAAAAGTACAAGAAGGCAAAGCTAATAAAAAAATAGTCATTGCAAGTTTCAGGAGATCACAAAAGAGTCGCCAGCGAGACAGACGTTGGAAGTATCAAATTCCGCATGGATTTGATGATATGAAGTGCTTGGGGTCCCCTCGAAATGGAAGCGTGCAAATGCAGTTGAGAGAGATTTGAAGGACTTTCATCAAATAGTGAACGAAGATCGCATAATTGGATCTTTGGTCCCTATTTTCTATGAGATTGAACCACTGGAATTCGCACTCTGCCATCCAATCATTCAAATCGCATTCCAGTTCGTTGCCTTCGCTTCCACCGACAGCTTGGAAGAACTCGTAAACGGCCGAATTGAGGGGAAAACACGAATCAAGGATGTACTTGAGGGTCTCCGCGTCCCCCGGATATGCTTCGTCCAATCCGGTCTCGATGACTTTCAACGTCCACAGGTACTCGTGAAGGACGCGGTAGACGTCCCGTTCGCCGGGGCATCGAACCATTTGTTCATCGAGAACGAGTTCGGTGATATTTTCAAGGCAGCCCAGAGGTTTAACGTGCTGCAGGTCCTCCCAATCCACGTCACTGGCATTGAGGAATTCGCAGAAACCTGTTTCGAGTTGGTCCTTGGAAAGCGAGAGTTGTTCGCATACTCCTTCCAGTCCGTAACTTTCCTTTCCATCCATAACACCCACGTGATCTATGAAAGTAATAAAGAACGTGTGGTTATTTCGACATAATGTAGCGTTAATGCATTGATTTACGCCTCCATTTTCTTTGAATCAAATTAATGCAATGTCAAAGGACGTGGAACCACAAAAGAAGCATCGTCAACGTTGAAGATAAATGGTAAGGGGGAACCATCATCTTCTCTTCGGTTATCTAAACATTGTAGCATTCTATAAATTCGATATTTTTCAATTTACTNTGCTGCTCCGCACTGACAGGCGTGATGGATGTGGACGGCAGCGAACGATGGGCATAAAATCCCTTCCGCTTCTGATCTGAACTCACAGGAGTGATGGGTGTGGACGGCATCTCCAAACGTTGGATCCCTCGGGGGACAATGTGGGGAGAAATTAACACATGATTGCTCAACGGACACCTTGGTCACTGCTCGGGTTGGATAAGCAGTCGAACAAGTGCGGATGTGCGTGGAGGAGGACAGCGCCCGGCGTCGACTGGTTTTCAACAGGAATATTTTCCGTCTTCTTCAGATAAGCCTTATCAGAGGCACGTCCTATCAGGCTACACGGCATTATTGTGAATGTGTTCTGGTTGGAAAATGCATGAATTGCAGTGCGAAACTGTGCGTTCTCAAAAGACTTTTAAAAGGGGGATTTGAAAAAAAAACAAGGAGAGAACGTTTGGAGGTGGCGTGAGTAACAAAATACATTATACAGGTGAGAAAGTTGCCTTAGGATTGCATGCGGGACCTATCGTACTTCCCCAACGGTATAGAAAAAAAGTTCTAATCTCTCTTGGGATGAAAGGACTCACGGCTGAAGTGCACAAAGTGCACATAGTGAAGACTGACATAGCAAAACATACATATTTTGTCTCGATGTAATTTTATATCAGGCTGAGAGTCAGAAGTTAATTCTTAAATCGGATAGGCAGTACCTGGAAAATGCTGACTGGTTTCATTTGTTTTGGAGCAATGGCACTAATAAGATTTACAAAATATTTCTAATGATACTTCGAAATAGATGGTTCAATCTTTGGAATCAACCAGAGCTAATAATTGTATTATATTTGTCTCTAATTTTGGTGATTGGCGAACGTGCACCTTCGCTCTTTTCCTCTGGTTTTCAAGTACGTTATTTCACACTTACCAACCGCTGAAGGTCAATGCCATTAGTAGTCACTTGGGCCCCATGCCATCGTAGGCATTCCAGATTTTCAAGCACTTGATCCAAAGATGCTTCGCGAAGAAATGGAGAGGATGTTGCCTTATCAGAGTCGGAAGGGTGAGGCTGAAAGCCTGGACTACGTGAGGATCAACAATTCATTCTCACACTCCGATTACTTAAGTTGATCCGATCCGATCCGTATGTTGATTTTTATATCCAAGCCGAATCCGCCCTCTTCTCCTGTTTTGCTGTGACAAGAAGTGATATAAATGAAAGAGTCATTCTCATTCATTGCACTTGCTTTTTTAATTGTAATGCAATTTGAAAAAACAGCCAAACTTCGAACAATAAATATATAATGGAAAAGTAAAAAAAGTACAAGAAGGCAAAGCTAATAAAAAAATAGTCATTGCAAGTTTCAGGAGATCACAAAAGAGTCGCCAGCGAGACAGACGTTGGAAGTATCAAATTCCGCATGGATTTGATGATATGAAGTGCTTGGGGTCCCCTCGAAATGGAAGCGTGCAAATGCAGTTGAGAGAGATTTGAAGGACTTTCATCAAATAGTGAACGAAGATCGCATAATTGGATCTTTGGTCCCTATTTTCTATGAGATTGAACCACTGGAATTCGCACTCTGCCATCCAATCATTCAAATCGCATTCCAGTTCGTTGCCTTCGCTTCCACCGACAGCTTGGAAGAACTCGTAAACGGCCGAATTGAGGGGAAAACACGAATCAAGGATGTACTTGAGGGTCTCCGCGTCCCCCGGATATGCTTCGTCCAATCCGGTCTCGATGACTTTCAACGTCCACAGGTACTCGTGAAGGACGCGGTAGACGTCCCGTTCGCCGGGGCATCGAACCATTTGTTCATCGAGAACGAGTTCGGTGATATTTTCAAGGCAGCCCAGAGGTTTAACGTGCTGCAGGTCCTCCCAATCCACGTCACTGGCATTGAGGAATTCGCAGAAACCTGTTTCGAGTTGGTCCTTGGAAAGCGAGAGTTGTTCGCATACTCCTTCCAGTCCGTAACTTTCCTTTCCATCCATAACACCCACGTGATCTATGAAAGTAATAAAGAACGTGTGGTTATTTCGACATAATGTAGCGTTAATGCATTGATTTACGCCTCCATTTTCTTTGAATCAAATTAATGCAATGTCAAAGGACGTGGAACCACAAAAGAAGCATCGTCAACGTTGAAGATAAATGGTAAGGGGGAACCATCATCTTCTCTTCGGTTATCTAAACATTGTAGCATTCTATAAATTCGATATTTTTCAATTTACTAAGATTTTATTCTACATATCGAATCATGAGAATGGAACGTTGAGAACGACTTCATATTAACGGATGGAATCAAATCATGAATTCATGGCATCTGAGAGGGTCAAACGAACATCAACTAGTATCTGAGAATTTTAAAAACCCAAAGAACATCGACGACAAAGATAGGTGCGCAAGACTTTGGCACCATTGAAACGAGAACGACAACGAAGGCCTTCATATTTTCCCACATGCTAAGTATGGAACGTAAAACGAAGTATCGTCATGAAGAAGCTGAAAATCGCATGCTTTCAGGAACTGAAGACAAGACGAACGCGAAGCAGATATTCAAAAATAAAGCAACACACCTTCTTTGTAGTCGAGGCATTCGTTGGTGCAAAATTGGACATCTGTGTTGCTGTGTCTGCCTTGGAGGACGAGAGGAAATGCGTGGAGGATAATGAGAGTTCGTGCGAGTGCCTCCATATCTTCTCCCTCTTTCGAAGCGCAGTCTCCTTGATGTATGCAGCAAAATATGTAGCTTTTTCTGGCACCATGCCTTCCTTATATATGTCATGGTTTGAAAGCTTTGCGGTGCATTGCATATTTTCGCGTGGAGAAAGCGGGCAGGTTTTCAATCTGATGTCATCCCCCACTTGAAATTCAAGTTGAGGGCGGAGTGCCGATATATGGTTTTTTCTGATTAAATGCTTCCCCCATTGTATTATGGAAAACGTATGCTTGACTTGAGAAATTTACCTTCAGATGCTCCAACTGATGAAAAATATGTCTACTATTATTATCTGAAAACAAATTGGCAAAAATATGTGTCGTCAATTCAGCTGAGTTGCATTCTCTCCTTTTCTGTTTCTCGTGTACATGAAAAGGACCTGTAGGAGCAGACTAGGCACGGTGGTGGGCAACATATGTGCCGTCAGGGGGGGGGGGCACTTCATTCGCTGTCGATGTTTCCTTTTAGGTCTGTTCTCTGCAGGAGCTCCAGACAGATCTTCATCGGTTCGATTTCGAATGCACTGCGGCTTCAATGAGATCGGCAGTTCTTTCAATCCCGTAAAACTGAGAATGCCTCACACGGCTCCATTGTTTCGAGAAGGGTCTCTGGACACTCGCGCCGTCGCCCATTCGGGTCTACTGAGCTGCTCCCGGGATAATTAACTTCGCTTTTGATCCGACCGTTCAACATTTAAATTGTCTGTATGTGAAATACCTTTCCCTAATGTAAATCTGTTTCTTTAGGATAAAATTGATGGTGCGTCCAGACGAATCGCGGAAAGCATGCATGGTTTTGTTATAAAAGTACTGAAATATCGTTAGTTTTTGGTTTCAAAGCGAAGCTGCGGAAGCATGAGAAAATGCCGACTCAAGGCCATTAGTAGCATATTTCGCAGATATTCTCGTGGAGAAATGTGCTAATAGCTGAATTAAACCAATTGGAGGACCGAGATGTTTCTTCAAACACCCCTCGATGTTCCCTGCAGAATACCCAATTAAACTCAAGAGTACAAGAGGATATCTAAATATGTTGAACAGGACTCCTTCGCGAACACATACGATGGTTCTTCTCTTCTCGGGATGGGAGTATGTAGATGACGTTATGGGCGCGTAACAGAGGCTTCCGGTTGGGAACAATGTGTTATGAAAAGCGGAAGTGCTCGGTATGTAAACCCTCTCAATCAGATACGCATGAAATGTGAGTGAATACAAGGTTGGAGTAAGTGGGGAGAATCGATTAAGACAACTGAAAGAAATTAAAATTCTTCAGTTCGATTCCTGGTGAAAACTGCCGACTGTTTACTTTGGGATTCATACGAATGGAAAAAATCAGGCCTCTTTATTTCGTTATCACTTATTCCTTTCAAAATTCAATCAATACCTTTTTTGTAATAAATGCGCGATATAACAAATTTAAAAAATAAATTAACAGCTAAAATATTAGAGAAATACGGGAGAATCATAATGGATTCGAGCGAGTTTCAAAAGGAGCATTGCCTGGAAAACTTATAGTGTTGAACGACTCCTTGAAGGGAAGTCGAACAAATGCAGTTAAGAGAGACTCTAATAACCTTCCTGTCGGGAACTTAACATGCCGAAAACAAGTGTCTGGCAGGTTCTTCACAAGCGATTTCATTTTGGCCATATCGATTACAGATGTCGCAAAAACTGAAACCTTCGGACAATGTGAAACGTTATGACTTCTGTTGCAACTTCCTGGATAAGCTGGTTGATGGTGACACGATTATGAACAACATGATATTCAGTGATGAAGCGACCTTCCACCTGTCCGGACGAGTGAATCGACACAATTTAAGAAACTGGGGGAGTGAAAATCTCCATGAATTCGTTGAACATGAAAGGGACAATCCCAAAGTTAATGTTTTGGTGGCAATGTCTCAGGAAAAGTTTTACGGGCCATTCTTCTTCCTCGAATGCAGAGTGACATGGATCATCTATCTGGACATGCTCTGTGAATGGTTAAAGCCACTGCTGGAGGAGGACATTCCAAACCTGATTTATCAACAAGACGGTGCCCCACTGCTTTTCCATGATGATGTGATATCTTACCCGAACAAACGTCTTCCTCAGCGTTGGATCGGGCGCAGAGGCCCTAAGAAATGGCCTCCAAGATCGCCTGATTTGACGCCACTGGATTTCTTTATGTGGTTTTGTGAAGAAAACTTGTTTGTGTCTACGTCCAACAACAACACTGGAGGAGTTGAAGACACAGATCAGAGAGGACTGTGGTAAAATTGACCATCAAATGCACCGCAACGTTTGGCAAGAGATCGAATGTCGGTACGATGTGGTTCGAGTTACTCGTGGCGCTCACATTGAACATGATTAAAGACTTTGTGCATGACAATAAAAATGGTTCCATTTGTTCTACCAGTTGATATGTGTTTTATGAGTGTAGCTTGAAGTAACGCTGAATAATAAAATATCCAAATCGGAAAAATCATTTACAGACACCCTGTACATTAATTGCATCTCTAGGCGCAGCCTAGGCTCAGTGGGCGGCAACAAAGGTGATGGTGAAGTTTAAGTACTTCGAGGTCTGGTTCTCAAGAGACGGGTTACATCGTAACAAGGTTAGAGACCGCATCTCCAGGGCTTTGGCAATTCTGCGAGAACATTGACGAACCGCGGTTGCAACACCGGAAGTTTCTCAGGAAGCGAAACTCTTGGTTTTTAAGCATGTTGAAATCCCCAAACTTCCTGTAATCCTGCACTTCGGATGAAGACCTTGAGAATCAGTTCGCGTATACAACCTGACGTAATGAGGTTCTTGCGTCGAGATGCTAGGTTTGTGCGCCATGAATGGATGCGGAACTGTGCCTGCCGCGAGAGCCTCCGGATTGAGCTGCTGCATCTTAGACTTAGGAGGTTCCACATCAGATGGTTAGACCAGAGGAAAATAAAAGGTTATATTGCGTTTCTAGCTGAAAGGCGTCCAGAAAACGTCAAATTGTGAAAAATTGAGCATCTATTTTAAGTCAGCATATTCATGGCCGTATCTTGAGGGCCGAAGGGTTTCTGGGCAAGGGAACGGTACGTTAAGTACGAAAGCGAACCAGATCCTTCAATCCCTTAAAGCTGAAAATGGCTCACACGTCTCGATTGATCCGAGGAGGGTCCGTGGACTCTCGCGCCATCGCCCATTCGGGCCCACTGAGCTACACTCGGCACAAGTCAACTTCGCTCTTGATATGATCGTTTAACATTAAAAAAGTCTGCATGTGCAATGCCTTTTCCAAATGTAAATCTGTTTCTTAAGAATAACATTGACGGTGCGTCAAAACGAATCGCGGAAAGCATGCATGCTCTTATCATAAAACAAATGCAATATCTTCAGTTTTTGGTTTCAAAGTGATGCAGCGAAAACATGACAAAATCCAGCTCAATGCCATTAGTAGCATATGTCTCAGATATTCTCGTGCATAAATGTGCAAACAGCTGAAGTAAATCATTGGGATAAAAGGAACGGGAAGTTCCTTCCGACACCCCTCGTTGTTCCCTGCAGAATACCCCATTAATCCTAAGAGTACCCGAGGATATCGACTTCAATTGAACAGGACTCCTTAGAGAACACCTAGGATGGTTCTTCTCTTCTCGGGTTGGGAGTATGTAGGATGTACTCTTAATAAGGATGTTTAAATCGTCGTGGTGGACAAGACGCATGCTCGATATGATGTAATATATGTCCCGTGCGCTAAGAGAGTGTGGGGTTGAGAGTAGCAGCAGCGCAGTTGTCCAGTCGAGAGTCTGTGGCATTGCGAGTACTGTTGAGCACTGTCGTAAAGACGCAGCACATGTGTTGAACCCCTGATCGGGTTGGGGAGTGAGTGCTGGAAGTCTTTACATCGCACACTAACATCCATTCAGGTATTGATCCTTTTGTATTCCTTGTCCATGAATCATCTGATGCAATAGATTCCAACACGTTTCTAAATATCCCTATTCTGATCCCTACTGCTATTGATCTCACCCAATACCGGTTATCTCAATAAATGCACTGTGTTACAAACGAGGAGTCAACGGAGTCATTATAACCACGGACACGCTGGTGGTCTGTTCGTGAGTTATTAATGTTAATTCACGTCGGAGCCGCCTACAAGTATGTAGATGACGTTATGGGACGCGTAACAGAGGCTTCCGGTTGGAAACAATGTGTGATGAAAAGCGGAAGTGCTCGGTATGTAAACCCTCTCAATCAGACACGTATGAAAGCATGAGAGAAATCAAGGTTGGAGTAAGTGGGGACAAT